AACAATAAATAGAAATACAATAAATAGAAATAGGAAAGAGAGACTGATGCTGTAGACTGTTCTTAATCTTGTATCATTGCTTCAAGTGACAGAGATATAACAAATTACCCCAGAGGGTCTCCCTAAATACTGGGCAGGTGAGTGATGAAGGATGGATGGGTGGACACACTCCTATGAAAACACTTAGGCTGTATCTGAGTTTTTTGAGGTTAGGGGAGGGAAATACCCAAGCTGTTACCAGCAGAGTCACCACAATTATCTATTTTGGAAAGTGTTAGGATGACACCTTCCCTCTGTGCCAACACAACCATTATCTCCAGCAGCACTATGTTTACAGGCCAAGCATCAGCTCCTCCTGGAGCAGTACCCAGATCTGGGCTTGAAAATTTCATAACAGACAGCAATACTTCTTTGAAGGTCTGTGGCCCTGCCATAAGGAATAAGGCAGGAATAAGAATTACCACTGTCTTTGCTGTCAAAGATGAAAGAATCAAGAAACATCTTCCTGCATGCTGCTCTCCTGTCTCTTTTCAGCCAAGAGCTTAAGGAAATTAATACACTAAGTCTTGGACTAGGAAGCTGCATTTCTGCACTATGCTGCTGGCATTGCTGTGACTGAGGCTAAAGAGGCCTTCAGCATTGCAAGGTCAGCATCGTTGGCTCAGGCTGTTGGAAAGCACAGATCACGGAATGGCTGAAACATGAGACCCACACTTCTCACAACAGTTTCCATCTTCTTTATCCACTCATAATCCTTTCCTCTCTTTTAGTGCATCTAATGTAAGAAGCATAAAGAACTTGCAGGAACCCTAACCTCCTCCTGCTCAACCATGTTTTCCTTCCCAGAGCTCTAGAGGAGCCTTTGAAGCTCTGCTGCTAAAGGTGGGCCAACACCAGGAGTGCAGAGCCCCTGCCCTATGTTATTTATATTCAGAGGCTGGATTGTTCTCAGATACCATCCCTTAAACTCTCCTCATCTTCCCCTCCAATTCCTAGCCCTACCTGGATTTTGAAACACTGAGTTCCCTTCAGCTAACAAGAGATGTTACTTACCTCTTCCTCTTCCTGATATACAGAACCTGAAGGAGAAAGAAAATCATCATTACAAACAGCAGCATGGAGAACAACTGGAAAGAAGAATTTTGGGTATAGGGCACCCAGAGAGGAGGTATAGCAAATCTGATGTCACTGCGCACCGAAGCAGAGGAAAGCGAAAAGTGACAGAAGTGACAACTGGAACTGATGTTTCGTATACATCAGTGTAAGCTTAACAGTGCATCAAGCCTGACACTAGTGCTTGAGTGGCCTGATATTAGGTGTGTTAGTAGTAGTCAGAATATTAGGTGTGTTTTAAGTGTAGCTCAGCAGATTTCTAGTGGCTGGAGGCCATATGTTGCAGTTTTAGAATGGTTGAAGAACCTTCTCTTTGTAGTATTCTCCTGAAGATTTCCTACAGCATAGAAGCAGTTACCCCCTCCCCAGTACAAAGGGAAGAAGGAAAGAGGGCATGCTCAGTGACTTGCCTCGTGTCAGCCAGTAAGAGTGGCTGTCCTGGGAGGAAAGTGAGGCTTTTGGCCTCCAGAGCCTTGTTCCGAGAACTATGAACGCTGGCTGTTGCTCTCGGGAACTTATGACCGTATCCAGGACAGTGTTTCCAGGTTCTCTTTAGGGGCTTTTGGAGAAACTCCTCCTTGGGTCTGCAATGAAATTTTGCAGTAGTCCCTTTCCATAGGCTCCTCTGCTGCTTGTATTAGCGAAGCCCTTCCTCACACGAGGAACGCGAGCTTGCTGCTACCTTCATTCTCTGTTGGTAGGTAAATGATCCAGTTATATATTGAAAGAACTGCAGTGCTTGCATTGTCTGTCAGACTCACAACTATAGCTGTTGATTAATGGCAGGGTTAGTTACATGCAGCAAATCCTTGAGGACTCTGCTGATACCCGAGCAAGGAGAACCTCAAAAATGCAGTCTAGAATGAGTCTAGCAAAAACGGATTCAGTCTGCCTCGGTTCAAAAAGACATACCCACAGAGGAGATTAATAGGGTCCAAGGCTGCTTTAAAAGTTAAGTTGGATGAACTTTCCTATGGGATGCTGGTGTTGACAAGATTTAAATCAATGCAGCTGTTCCAATTAACAAGTCACAACAGACTGACTTGTTTGTCAGTCTGCCATTGCTTTGCGTTATTTTAATTGAACTTCCTGTTGCCATTAAAAATAAATAGTGATGTTATATATGGTTTCCTCTAGACCTGCTGAGCAGCCTGCTCTGCCTAGACCCCAGGGAGACAGAAGAAATACTGGAGCACCATTCCTACCAGCTCTTGGTGTGCTTTTAATATAATATAGAAATTAATCCAAATCAGCCCTGGAACCCCTTTGCCACCCTTCACCCCCAACAGACAGAAATACTTAGCAGTGTCTCTTACCATTGCTACAGCCAACCCAATCACAGTAATGATCCCAAAGGATAGCAGCATGGCACTCATGCTGGGCCCACTGCTGGCCACATCTGGGATTTTGGTGCTGTTGAAGCTCGTAGTCTCAGGGCTCACAGTAGCTGTTTCTGGTACAGTTGCATCCAGAGTTGTTCCTGCATCTGGTTTGGCCGTTGTGGTGCTGCTGTGGTATAAGTCATGTGCAGAGGGTGAGCTGGAACTCATCCTGCCAGCTCTTAGCGTCTTTTAGCAAGCTGCTATGCACTCCACTCAAGAGACAGGTGCCAGATACAGCAGCAAAGAGTTCCCCCTCGTTTCAAGGACCCTCACATGTGATCTACCTCACAGACTCATCACTGATGGCTTTTCTGCATAGGAATCACACGAGTTTCTGCCTAGGAAGGAATGAGAACAGATGCACAGTGCAAAGCTCTTAGAGACAGGCACAACCTTTTCCACAGCTTAACCACGTGTTAATTTTTGAGAGCAGCTCACAGATGCCCACTCAATTTTTTTTTAAGTGCATTTTTCAGGGGTACTGAGAAAGTCCTGCCTGGTTCAGCTGAGGCACACTCAGCTGACACACTCACCCCTTGCTGCTTCAGCTCAGCCTCCTTGCAGCAATTGGCAGAGCTATGTAGTGTCTCAGAACCCCTCTGTCTTCAGTCTGCTACAGGATGAGCTAGGCAGCCTTCATCCATACCAGAATAACAGGACCTCTCTTCTTCTCCTCTTTTAACTTACAGAAAGTTTCAGAGATCTCATCCATCAAAATGGCACTTGGCTCCAACACATCTGTATTTTGGACCCAGTAAGAATCACCCAGAAGTATCACAGAATCACAGAATGGCCCGGGTTGGAAGGGACCTCAAGGATCATGAATCTCCAACCCCCCTGCCACACGCAGGGCACCAACCTCCACATTTAATACCAGACCAGGCTGCCCAGGGCCCCATCCAACCTGGCCTTGAACACCTCTAGGGATGGGGCATGCACAGCCTCTCTGGGCAGCTGTTCCAGCACCTCCCACTAGAAGTAGAACTTCCCTGCTGTGGTGGTGGCTGGTGATTGATAAGTCACTGCACTATGCACCCCTCCATTGTCCCTCAGCCCATGCACTCTGCAGAGGCAGACTCTTTAAAGCAGTGGGTTGCACTGGTCCCCATCTGCTACTAAAGATGGCATTTCTACAGTCTCCCATGAAAGCACCCACACAGGCTTAGTCATGTACCACTAATTATCGGTATTAATTTTAAAATGGGTCCCATTTTGGATTGGAGTTGTGCAATTTGACAGATATATTCATACTGAAAACACGAAAGGCTTTAATTGTTTCATGTTTCTATTGTGCAAATGATCAGGAGTTGCAAAACACCATGGGATGATCCTACGGGAAGTATTTGCACAACTTCGTTTATAAGATCTCTGTATGTGACATCAGGCCAGCAATTACTTCAGTGAAAACACAGCTACCTCTGGAGCAGGGCGGCGCAGACCTCAAGAACTACCGCAGCAGACTTCTGATCACTTTTATGTAGTTCAGCAGACATTACATCTCCAAACTGGAATGCAAAGGGACACGGGTTAATGAGCTCCGAATAGAAAAAGATGTGCCTGCAAAGAGAAACGAGCCACTGTTCAGCTCCACTGTTCTATTCTGGGCAAGGTTATTGCACACTTCTCGTTACCGTGATGCCTCTCTGCCGTCCACGGCCGCATTAAGCAGCGTGATTAACATCTGTCACTACCGACCGAAGCAGAGCCATCGTGCAAGGCAAGCGGCAGCGGGGCCGGGCGGGGTCTGCCGGCAGCGCGAGCGGGCGGTCAGCTCGCACCGCGCTCATCCCCGGGCACGCAGGTCTCTCCCACGCAACTTTGCGAAGGAGGCGGTGAGAGACGCCGAACCGCCACGAGTTTCTAAATCAGCGCGAAGGCAGATGGCACTTGTGCTCCGGTCCCGCCTCGCCGACCGAGCAGCCCAGGAACGGGTGTCCCGCGCCGCCGGCACTGCGGCCCGGGCCGCGCCGGGAGGGCTCCGCACAGGGCAGCGCGGCGCCGGGCCGCGGGGCGACGGAAGCAGAACGGCGCCGAGCCGCGCTCCGCCCCTCACGGCGCCGCGGGGGCGCGGAGCGCGAGGCCTCCGCCGCCCGCCCGACAGCACCGCGGAGCCGAGCCCGGCCGGCCCCGCCTCCCAGCGCCCGGCCGCCGCCTGCGGGACGGCCGCTCGCCCCGGGCCGGGCGGGGACGGAGCCGCCCTGAGGTTCGCCCCGCGGCCCGGCCCGCCGCCCTCGCGCCCCTCCCCGGAGGCGGCCGCGCTGCCCGCGCCGAGGCCGCCACTTACGGAGCGCTCCCGCTGAAGCGGCTCCCCCGAGCGCCGCCGGCGGTGGGGCCGCGCCCTCGGCCGCAGGGCCGCGCTGCCCGCAGGGGGGGGGGCGGGCCGGGCCCGTCGGCGCGCGCCGCCGCCGCCTCGCGGCCGGTAGCCCCGCCCCTCCGCTCCGCGCCCCCAGGCGATTGGCCGACGGCCGCGGGTCGCGAGTCGCGGTTGGTCGGCGCTGCCGCCGCTCGCGCGCGCGGCGATGAGGCGGTCCTCTCCCGCGCCGGTCTCGCCGAGGTGAGGGAGCGCTTTGCGGGCGCGCCCCCCGCTGAGGTGGCGGAGCCGCGGGGCGCTGCGTGTGCGGGGCGGCTGGAGGCGGAGCCGCCGAGCCGAAGCGAGCTGAGGTAGGGCCGCTGCTGCTGCTGCTGCTGCGAGGGGTCGCTCCTGCCGCCCGGCCGCACGCGGCAGCTCGCTAATTGCAGGACCTGCGCCGTGCCGGGCCTCGGGTCGGTCAGCCCGCGGAGCGGCTGCGGGAGGCTGGCCGTGCGCTCTGCCGGCAGCACTGCTGTTAATTCCTTGGGCCTCCTCCTGTGGCGGTGCCCCGGGCCACAGGTCTGACTCTTCCTTCGGTTGCCCCGTGCCACAGCGTTGCCCGCTGGGAGCCGGCCCGGCCCCGCGTATTCCGAGTTTCTCTTCCTCTGGTCTCGCCCTGTGAGCTGTAGCGCTTCCGCCTTGTCTGCAGCCTGGCGATGGGACAACGCGGCAGGCTGCTGACCTATGAAATTAGCCTTTGCGAGCGTACCTGCTAGCCTGAGACTTGGGAGTTGGGAACAGGAGAGGAGGAACGAGGAGGGACTGAAGGTCTGTGTGCAGTCAGCCGGCCCGGGGTGCTGGAGCGGTGCGCCGGCGGCTTGCAGGCAGGCGGCAGGGCTGTGCCTGCAGGCCCGCTCCCTTCTGCTCAGCCACGAGCACCGGTTGCCCACGGAGGCTGGGTTAATCCTTTGTTACTCTAAGGGTGTGAGTAGCTGGTTTTGTACCCGTGGGTGTTGGTCGGGCGACAGTCTACATTCCTTTCAGAAGGGAACTTGTGTCTTTTGCACACATTGTACTTCTGCCTCTTCTTTCTAGGCCAGCTGAGCCCTGAGGCAGATCTGCTGATTGTGATCGGGTGGTGCTTAGCCAAAGTGGCTTGTGGCTGCACTGAGTGTTGTGTGAGTCTCTTCGTGGATTTGATCAGCTGACAGAAACAAGGAACCCACGTGGAAGCCAGGAGGTGACTTTGCAACAATGAGATGCTTCAGCCCCTCACTGTTCAGGCAGTTCTGGGGGCTTTTGCCTCAGTATGTATCAGTGGGACCTAGTCGAAATCCTAACCTCAGTCCCAAGCAGTCATCTTTGAGGAAGAACTGCAGTGCAAGACCTAGGCTGATGACCGCCCCTGATGTGGTCAGCTACTGGCAAAATGTGTTTGAAAAGAATGGGATCCCTGAAGCACGAGAATCCAGTGAATATATTGTGTCATTTGTCTTAGGAGCAAAAACAGTTAAGTAATGGAAAAGGAGTAAGATCTGTGTGTGTCTCTTGCTTTATCTTTTTCCCCTTACCCTTCTTTTTATCTCACTTACAGGAGGTAGAACAGCTTTTCCCTCCCTCAGATGGCAGAGAGTGTGGGATATCATTTATTAATGCAAGTAAAGTACTTGAGATCTCTTATGTGCTCTCATTACAGGGACTGAAACATACGCCATGACACATACACCAGCATAGTGGCCTGGCTTGTTTGGTGGTGCATAATCAAAGAACATTAAGATAGTGTATAATCAAGGAAAATTGTATAAAGGAGTATTGTATAATCAAATAATATTAAGATGTTATAATAATGAAATAAACAAGAGAGTTTGGCAAAGCAAGACAAAGAGAATAGATAAGATGCTTACCCATATCCTGGACTCACTCAGAAAACTCCCGTGGAGCAGATCTCCAGAAGAGATCCTTCCCCACTGGTAGTCAGCTCTTAAATGGGTCTAGGAGAGGTGCAACCAGGCTCCACCCCTTCCTGCAGCACAGGTGAATTGCTTTCACCTATGTTCCCAGGGCTGACTCATTGCTCACCTCAGGTGATCAATCAGAGGTTCAGGCCGTGACTCAGCAGTTCCCATAGAGGTGGAGTGATTCTTTATCTTACCTATGCTTTAACTACCAAAACTACAGCCTTACAGGTTTCTCGTTAAACATGCAGATAGGTTCTCCTTGTCAGTTGGAGTTTCAAAGAGTGCCCTCCATATGTGTTTTTTGTTGTGCTGGCTCTGCCTGGAGGGTGCAGACAACATTTAAGTTGCATAAGTGGGCTGGTTTTAAAGTGATGTTGTTTTCAGTTTCAGAGCTTGGACTCCAAAAAACTCTGCGCTCCGCTTACAGCAGTGCAGCAGGAGCAGATCCAGCAACTGAGCTGTAAGCGACTGGAAAGGTGGGAGAATCATCTTACTGTTGCTCTTGGGAGAGTTTTCTCCAAAAGAGAGAGAAAAAGGGGTGGGGAATAAGGGGGTGGTTCTTTGATTAAATGGAGTTTTTCTGTATTTTACTTTATACCCATTGCCTCTTTTCTTTCAGCTTAGATTTGCTGAAAAAAGTCTGACTTTATCTTTACTCCCTTCCACCAAATGTAGTTACTGATGAATTTTCCACCTCATTTGAGCTTTTCATTCTCAGGCCAGATCTGTCTCTGCTTTCTCAGTCTCTTCTTGTATGGCAGGTGCTCCAATTCCTTAGTCATCTTAATGACCCTGTGTTGGATTTGCTCCAGTACATCCATGCCTTTCCTGCAGTTAGGAGCTCAGCACTGGACACTGAGGAGTCTGGTCAGGAGTGACTTCACCTCAGTTTTTTCAGGATTGAAGTGAGTTGACTGGCCTTTAGTTCCCTCAGTCCAGTACTTCTCAAGACACTATTCTGTGGAAGTGGAACTCCCAGAGCTTTTAAGGAGCATGCACATGCATGCTGCACATGTAGTTGAGAGCCTTAGTGGTGTCTAGATGTCCACCATCAAAGGGATTGTGTGGTTAGCAATGAATTAAGCATGGTAGTGAGAGCTTTTTATGTTACAAAGTGTAATCCTCAAGTGTTTTCATTTGTTTTTGCCTGACGCAGAATGCCAGTGCAGTATGTACTTGGTGAGTGGGACTTTCAGGACCTGAATCTGAAGATGAGACCTCCAGTATTTATTCCTCGTCCTGAAACAGAGGTATGAAAATAGGCTCAGAGCAAGAGATTTTGCAAGCTAGTATGTTCTTTGATTGCACAGAGATTCACCTCAATTCACCTCAAAAACAAGAGGCTTGCTTTCCTTATTTCTGCCGTGGTAAAGACTCCTTGAATATAGTGCCCCTTTACTTTTGTAATGCAACTACTCAGAGTTGTCCAGTGTAGTAGAAAGCTACTAGAAAAAAGGCGGTGGACTCCAGAGGGCTTCTTTATCTGCATGCAGATTAAGACAGTGCAGGCTGGTAGAAATGGCATCTGCTACTCATCTGCTGACTCCACAGTGATTTCTGGGCAAGCACTGGAAATGGAACGTTGTTTCCTTTCCTAGGCTGACCCACATGTAGGTTCTGACCTGGGCTGGAGTTAAATGTGATTGTGAATTGTAAAAGTGGAAGCAATAGTCATATACATTCAAATTAAAACTTTATTTTGTCTGGTGTACTAGGAAGAAGTGTAGGAACTATATAGCGATGCTTTCTCTAATGGTAGCCTAGCTTTCAGTTCATGGGCACCCTAGTAAGCAAATCTTTGTTTACTGTTCTTTAAGAGTTGCTTTTCTTTGCTGTTTCTGTTTTTCTTCTGATAATTGGTTTTCTTTCTTGCAGCGAATGTTAACTTTTGGAGAAGCAATGATTACCGTAGCCTGTCCGATTAGAATTCTGATAGACAAATGATCAGAGAAATGGCTCCTGTGCTAGTAGCCCTTTGCTATATAAAGAATGCTGTTTTGAATGCATTAAGCACAGCATAGTCAGCTGGTAAAAGGAGGTGATTCTCCCACTGTATTGGTGCTACCTCACCTTGAATACTCAGTGCAGTTCTGGACTCCCCAGTTTTAAAAGGATGGTAAGGTCCTTGAATGCAACCAGAGGCGGCAATGGCTCCCTGAGGAGGGAAAGCAGAGGGAGGTGCCAGATTCCAGGGAGCTGATGGCAGGATGGGAACAGCATGGAGATGGGCCAGGGGAAGCTGAGACTGGGCATTAGGGAAAATTTCCTTGCCATGAAGGTTGTAAGGTAAGGTGGCAGTGCTCTCAGGAACATGCTTTAAGTTAAGGTTATTCTTGCAGTGGTCAGATCTGTGTTGAAATCTGGAGACAACAGCTCAAGAAATGGTTTTGCTAGTTGGAGCCTGATGATAGTTAGCATTGTTCTTATTGATGGTATTTCTGCTGTGGTTGATTTGAGAGAGTATTTCTAGCCTCTGACTGCCCACTAATTCCTGAATGCAATATGAGCACTAAACCCAAAGAACTTAGATGTTCTGCAAATCAAACCGTCTGTTGTAAGGCTTCCCCTGGTACTGTGCTCTCATTCTCTCCATGCAGTGCCAGGCTTCAAACAAAGGCCTATTGTGTACTGTGGAAATCAGGGCTGCTAATGCCTGTAAATGTTGCTAATGATACCCATATGTGGGATTTTGGTAGAAGCATCTCTGCTGAAAGGCAGTGCTCTGTCAAAATGAAGTGCTCTGTAACATCTTGTGTTTTAAACCCCTTTGTGTACCCTGGGGCCAAAAATCTAGCATAAACAGCTTAACCCAAACCTTGTGTTTGTGGGAAAACTTTATTTGATGTGTCAAGATACTTAATATGGAGGTACATTTTTAGTACATTTGTTTTGAAAGACCAGAAGCTCATGATAGCTCAGGAATGAAGCTCCATTGGGAACTGAATTTACAGAGTAGTTCTGCCTCAGCAAACAGCATCAGCAGACAATAATCAGGAAATGGAAGGTGAGCAAATGTGGCCTTTCTTGTAGGGAGCAGTGAGGGGCTGCGCATTCAGGAGGAAATGAGCAGTGTAGCAAGAGAGAAGGGAGTGGAAAAAGAATCCAGGCAGAAGAAGAGCTCAGAAGGAGCAAAACAGAGATAAAAGGGTCCGGAAGAGCTGGAACAAGCAGGCCTGCAGTCTAGGCCTGTGGATCCAGGCTTGCAGAATGGCTATGGGTCCTGGGTCTGGTGGCTTCTCTTCTACTGAAGTCTCCAGCCAGCTCCTGCTGCTGCCTTCCCTTAAGGAGGTATAGCTCACTGGGAAAGAGCCACTTGGTCTTGAGGCTTGCAAAGCAGAGAAAGTGCTATGCATTAGAAGTGCAGCAGGTTTCTGATCAAAGAGCTAAATATGTTTAGTTTCCAGCAGCAGCATGGCACCTTTGCTTTGGCTGCTTGCGCTCTTTCTGGTGTCAGGAACTTCACATTAATGTGCATAATGGTTGAGGTTGGCAGTCATGTCTGGGGATTGTCTGGTTTGATTTGCTTGTGTAAAGCAGAATCAGCTGGAGTTTTGTCTGTTGATATTTGTTTAAAAATGGAAAGAAAAAAAAAAAGTAGAGGAGAGTCTTGAGTTGTTTTGGAATGTTTTAAACTTTCATGGTGATGTAGATGTAACTAAAACCAGGCACTCTTAAACCAGGCTACAAAGTTTCTTCTCCTGAGCAGAAGGAGCCAAATGATGAAAGAGTGAGTTTAAAGATGAGAGCTTTCACAATAGTGCTTGCATGTTCCCACTGCTTTCATCTGGGTTAGGGGAGCTAACTGCAAGTTCACAGCCAGGATGATTCCCTGATGTTGCTCAATGTAAGTGAGCACAAACTCTTTCCAACAGAGCTGTTAAATTCAAAGTTGTGTTAAGATAATCTTACGTGTAACTAGTGCTCTGGCCACTTTGTCTCATGCCTTCTCAGCAGCCCAGCTGTGGCTGCATTCCTTCTTCATACTCCTCAGAAATGCATTCCACCTAACCTTTTCCTAGAGTTGCTCTTCCTCTGGACACAGTTCACTGAGCTTTTGAAGCTTTTGCTTGAATGTTCTTCACACCCCTGAATATCACTGTGGGGAGATGTGTTGTGCCCTGGTGCTAAAAAAAGAAATTGATCTCATTTACCAGATTTACCTGGAAGGCGTGAGCTGACGCTGCATTTGTCAGAGCTGTAGAAGTTAGATCTTGAAGCCTCTGGTGATGGTTTGAGGGTGGGCTGGAAAGTTCATTGCCTTCTTTCATATGGGAGAAGATGTGGGTGCAGCTGTGAAGCCTCTATAGTATGGGAAGGAGTAGCAGGAGGGTTAGACTTCACTGCTTTTTTCTGGGCTTTGTCTTATTGTTGTGCAGACATAGTGAGGCACTCTGTGCTCTGCTTCAGATTACATAGATATGTTTTGCTTAGGAATGCTTCTGTGATTTCTGTAACAGCATTGGGTAATGTCTGCAGTTGACTCTTATAAATTTGCTGTGGTGATCTTTCTCTTCAGGGAAAAAAATATTCACATCACAGCAAATCCTGAGACTTGACCCAAGCCCTTGGTGCTGCATGAGAGGGAGCTTTCTTGTGATCTGATGCTGGGGAATTTTCTCAGACAGGACGAGCATGTGGACAAGATCCAGTTATTTGTCAGCACCTGGTGCAGGACACTGCTATGGGCATGTGCTGCTTCCAGGAACCACATACTCTGTGTAACCAGTTGCCCAAAACTGAGCTGACGTCCACATTCTTTCCCTTGTTTACATTGGACTTCTCTGACTGAGAGCTGTGTGTGATTGTTTGGGTGGGGGTTTGCCCATGCTTTGTTCAGTAACTGAGATTTTTCAGACTTCACTGAACTTTGAAACTGTAATGGAAAAACCTCCTCTCAAAAATATTGAAATTGCCTCTACTGCTCTTTCTATTCAGTTTGTCTGCAGCATTCTTACAGCTGTTAGTACTGATACTGTTAATCAAATAATATCTGTAAAGAATCTTGTTCTTTAGAAAGCAGCTAATTATCAGCATTGATATCCCAGATTCAAGTTGCTTCTTTATGACTGCACACACAAGCCACGTGGTACGTCTTGTCTTTGGCTGAGTAAATGTAGCTCCTTACATTGACTTGTGCAGTGTAGGTATACCAGATTCTGCAACATTCACTTTCTCACTATGTTTTCATAGCTCCTGCAAATGCTTCTGCCTGCTAATTTGAAGACTGAAAGGAAGAAGAGGCATCTTCATTATGCATATTTTATCTTGTGGTTAAAACAGAAGGGTTCTGACTCTTGCTATGAGCTGCTAGGCACATGGGTAAAGCTGTGAAGGCAAACACAATATGGCATAAACTACCAGCATTGGTTGTGTCCTGTGGCCAAAGAGATGAACAAAGAGAGAAGCTCAGCTGTCTGCTTTAGTTTTGTTCCGTGTGGAATTTGTCCCTTTAGCTCATGGGTAGCTGAGCCCATTTCCATTTGCTTTCTCTGGGAGTATTTTTGTCAGCACGTGTGGTTCTCCTCCTTCTGTTCTGTGGGATTTGGGGTGGGGATGGGACAGGGACCCAGAACTGCTTGCAGGGCTGATAGGTAGCTCTGTGAGTACACACAAACTGCATTGGAGGAGAGTTTTGTTGCACAAGCCACAATCTCACCTTCCTCCACAACAGCTGGTCCTCTGTGCATGGAGCTTTGGGCTTGCTGCTGTGAGCACTGTGTGGGTGCAGCGGTGCATGGAAGCCCACATCCTACGTTCTGTCCTGGTGTGAGCAGGTCTGTGGCTGTGAAGACTGGAGGGAGTCCTGGGTGACTTCTATGATGTGCCCAGGGTCACCAGAGGTCACCTGCTTTTGTCATGCAGGGGTGTTCAGGCCAGAGTCTGGGGTTGTGCTCTGTCTTGTGAATTGTCCTAGTTATGCACTTACTATTGTAGTGTCAAGGAATCTCTGTTCCAGTGCTGTTCAGAGACTATTGGTGCAGAAGACAGTCCTTTTCCCAGAGCGAGTCCTTCTAAAACTCAAGCTGAGTTACCATCACAGTAGCTTTGTGGATTAGAGGAAAAATAGGACAAAGAGAAGAGTCCATCCAGTCGTGGGTGGGTGATTCCTTTTTTTATCTCGGTAAATAAAGGCAAAATCAATCTTCACTGTGTCTTCATTGAGGAAGGTTAGCTGGGTCCAGGATTTCTCCAAAGGTCGTGCAGGCTGTGGCTCACCTGTTTTGTACCCCTAGAGGGCACTGCAGGCTTA